GAAAGGAAACAATAATTGTACCTGCTTTGTGAATGGGAAACTTGGGACTCATTCAAAGATATGGCAGACTTGGTTGTACCAGTAACATCAACATCTCTACAAAATCACACAATAAGCAAGCTACAATTGAGAACCAAATGTCCTCCAAGGAAAGAAAATGGCTTTTATCAATAAGCAAAACATTGTTTATACATCATTCTATAAATTATAAAAGTTTTTAATAGAAAATATGTCCTCAAACCTGGCTACATTATGCCAAGCAAACACTGAACAATATTAACCAAATGTGTGTATTATTTCAAGTTGTTGCTACAAAATTGACTAGAAGTTACTTGGTAGGAGCTATTCTAGCATGATAGCACTAAATTATATGGTTCATACGAAATTATATGGTTCATAGAATGATACGTAGAGTTAGAATAAGGCAAAAATACTACAAGAAAAGCAAAGTAAACGATATCAACAACGATTATGATCGATTATGATAATACCGGCAGTAATTATTCGATTCAAATTATATATATAAGTATTTTGTTATGAGCTAGTAAAGTTGACGATATTATAGCACACACAAAATTAGAATAGATGAGGTTTTCGACTTAAATGGTTTGACTGGGCTGTTCCAATGAAGTTTCAACAAAATCAATTGGTCTCGCTCTTTTGCTGAACCGTTTCTGTACCGCTTCGCTCGTCCGCTTTTTGGCTTGCAAAGAGTTGAACTTACAATCGGACACAAATGAGCTAGATTATTATCTGATACATCTAGAATTGGCTCCACAGACAAATTTCTGTAACAATAAAGCGATATTACCCGTTATCCGTGTACACTGAATATTACGAGAAGTTTAGCAGGTTTAGAAATACTGTAAGTCTCAGGCAATTTCACAACTTACCTCTTGCTTTCTTCCCATGGACGATGCAAAAGAAATTCGGTGAACTCACTATTTGTCGCAGCCCCGAAGCCAAAGGACACTTTTCTCTCGTTCCAGAGGTCAAAAACTGACAGTCGAAGCCGTATGACCTTGGCAGTTCCAGAAAGTCTTGGTCTCCCTCGCGAAGGATTCGCCATATTTGTTTGCCTCTGTTTTGACTGACCGCACTTTGGATGTTTTTTCTCATAAAAATACTGTACTTATTAACAAAAAAAGGACTTAGAATTGTTCTCAAATATTCTTCAGGTTTCTTTGCTTGGCCGATGGAAACGGATTTGCAAGATATAACTAAAAACGGACAATTTCCATATACGAAAAATGGCCGCGACTTGATTTCGGCGAGCAAAGCTTAGCGGCCAGGGCTGGGCCTTTAAGAAGAAACTGAACAGTTGCCCCGCAATATTACAGAGATTCATACTACGAGCACTGAAATATGACGTCACTGTAAAGTATGTGAAGGGTGCCGAAGTGCCAATCGCCGATGCCCTATCTAGGGTATCACCAGAGCGCTGTCAGCCCAAGGAAGAGCTTACACAGTAACACATACATCAAATCACTAGAAACCTACCAGCCTCGCCAATAAAGCTGCAACAGATCCGCCAGGAAACTGCAAGTGACCCTATACTCAGCAAACTACGTGATGTAATATTTGAAGGATGGCCAACAAAGAGAGAGAAGTGCCCAAAAGTGCTACATGGCTTCTGGAACTTCCGTGAGGAACTCACTATTGAAGATGGCCTCATACTAAA